GTGCTACATAAACCACTCTCTACTGAGTGAGCTTCCACTGGTGAACATCCACACAGATATTATATAGAGTCGAGTTCTGATTTGACCCTAAGGTTCTGAGCAGAAAACCCTAATTTATTTATAGTTTGAACTTGATTGAACATCTGGTTGTACACATTAATAAATACACAACAGTAGATAATTGTGTTTCATTTCCACTGTAAATTAGATCCAGTGAACTTGTCTTCATCTTTAAAACATGATGTCTAACCAGATTCTTTACTTTAGCTTTGAACACTGTGAGTCATATTCTTCAGCATGCACTAAAAACAAATATGTAGCACCGCGTTGTTTAATTTTTGCAATGTGACTAAAAGAAAATTAAGCATGTCTCAGACTGATGCTGAAAATCTAGTTCATGCATTTATTATATGTAGGCTGGGCTATTGTTATTCATTATCCTCATCTCACACTAAATACTCCCAGAAAGGCCTCAAGTAATTCCAAAACACAGCAGTGTGAGTGCTAACTGGGACTAAAAATATTTCTCTCATATTAGATTTTCTTCATTGCCTTCTTGTCGAATCCAGAATTGAATTTAAAATCCTTCTCATATACAAAGTTTTGAATGATCATTTCCCATCATATACTGCCCCACCCTGGGGTTTCTGAAAGTAAAATGGGAGACAGAGCTTCAGCTATCAGGCCCCTCTACTGTAAAACCAGCTCCCAGTTTGTACTGGGGAGACAAATGCCTATTCTTTTAAGATTAGATTTAAAACTTTGCTTTTTGATCAAGTTTATAGCTGGGGCTAGAACCCTCTCTTAGTTATGCTGCAGTAGGCTTAGGCTGCTGGGGAATTTGGGCCCTGAACCTTTCTTCTTTTCACTTTGTGTGTTTATACATCACTGTTGCATTTAGAGGTTTCAACCAGCAGCAGTAATTATTAAACTGTGGCTCCCTCCCACGGTGTGGCTTCTTTGCTTTCTCCCTCTGCTCCCTTTTCTTTGTCCTCAACCCGCACTTTGGTGCCTCCGCTCACCCCCAACCAGTCGCAGCAGGTGGCTGCCCCTCCATGAAGCTGGTTGTGCCAAAGGATTACTTCCTTTTAAAAAGGAGTTTTTCCTTCCCAGTGTCACCAAGGGCTTGCTCATAGGGGGTCGACTGATTCTTTGGGTTTCCTTTGTAATACTGTAGGGTCTTTACCCTACAGTATAAAGAGCCTTGATGCGACTGTTGTTTTGATTTAGTACTATATAAATAAGATAAAGTAAAATTCAATTGAATTTTGGGTCCCACCACTCAGTTAAAATTGATAACAATTCACTACATTAAAAGTCATATACATCTATATTGCTCTTACTAAGTTTTGTCTGTATAGCAGACTTTCTCAGTGCATCAGAAAATGATTGCACATAGTCAGAACACTTTGCATTTTAACTCTTACAAGCATCATTGATGGTCTGTTTGTGTGTTTTGTGTGATGCAGCGGTACAAGAGGAACGACAGAGGAACCGAGAGCGGGAAGGCGAGCTGGAATTCAGTGTTGGAGTGAATGACGAGATGCCTGTGGAGAAGATCTTGGAGGCAGAGACGGCTGTGGAGCAAAAGACTGAGCTTCACTCAGACGGAGGCTCTGCAGGAAACTCGGTGAGTGGTTGGAACGTAAATGCATTTACATGGCAGCACTATAAACAGAGTGATAGCTATGTTTATTAAGATGAAAGCTTACTAAAATTACTGGAAGCATTGATTGTCTTTTTTTGTTTTGTTTCAGCCACATGATGCTGTTAGCAACATCTGTCAGACTGCAGACAAACAGCTGTTTGCCCTGGTGGAGTGGGCAAAGAGAATCCCTCATTTCTCTGAACTGCCCCTTGATGATCAGGTCATCCTTCTGCGTGCAGGTATGAACAAGCACACACAAGTGATCTGATCAGCTTTGATGTTATAAGTTTATCAAAGGCACCATACAGTATTCTTCTGAAGTGGCCAAATATGTCCTTTTATGCTGGTTATTGTAATTCTTAACATACAGTTACATTGCTATCTAAGTTATTGTTGTTTGGAGCCGTTTAATTATATTTGTGTACTTGAATACTCTATAAATTGCATACCTTGCAAAAAATTGCAAAATCGCAATAAATTGCATACCCTATAAAACTAAGCAGTGCTAAGAATTAGTGTACGAGAATGTCTAGTAAAAACAAAGTGTAGAGGAAACTTAAAAGGCTGTGAGTGAATGACCACATTTCTGCCCAATTTTGCTGAAATGTTTTAGAAAATATTTTTGAAGTAGTGACTGTTCCTAACTCCAGTTGTTATGTGTCTGGTGATTCCCCAGAAGGGTTTTTTGCCCAGAAAGGAAAGTGGCAATAACAACTTTTTTTTTTTTTTTTTCTTTCCCCCATACGGAAAGTGGTTCAGAACCCTGAGGACATAAATCTCACAGCAGCGGGGATGGTGTATACAGTTGCACTAAACTGTCTTTGTATTATTGCCTACAACTTAAGGGAGAAAGGACTCTGAGACACATGAGTCTTTGTTTTAAATGTCATGATGAATTAAAATCTTATTGCTTTTTACATATCTGTGTGTAAATGGACTTAATTTCTCAGGGTGGAATGAGCTTCTTATCGCCTCGTTCTCCCATCGTTCCATTCCGTTGAAGGATGGAGTTCTTCTTGCCTCTGAGCTACAGCGCGATAACGCACACAGTGCAGGAGTTGGAGCCATTTTTGACAGGTACATTGATGGAAGTAAAGAATTGCCAGGATACAAACATATAAGCTGCACTTGACTGCAATGATTTGTGTTATAAAAACGTATTGTCTAATTTGACTTTTGTTTTTGATACAGAGAAAGTGTGCAGAGCGCAGAGGTCGGCGCCATATTTGATAGGTACATTTCCTCTTGTTGTTCAGAGTGTCTTACACAGTGTAGGCTCAGTGTTTTTGTTTAATGCTTTGAAACCTTGCATTCTTTCTCAGAGTTCTCACTGAGCTGGTCAATAAGATGAGAGATATGCAAATGGATAAAATAGAGCTGGGCTGCCTTCGAGCCATTGTCCTGTTTAACCCAGGTACTTAACATGGAAGAAATTAGAAACATTTAACTATTTCTTCAAAAAATGTTTTGGGCTTTTTTAATTTTCTGCATTTTTCATGTAGATGCTAAAGGGCTCTCCAACACCGGTGAGGTGGAGCTCCTCAGAGAAAAGGTCTATGCATCATTGGAAGCTTACTGCAAACAGAAATATCCAGAGCAGCAAGGAAGGTAATGGTCCTCTGCTGTAACAGTCTTTGTTGTAGTCCTGTCTCGTACATTTTGATCTTGTTAAGTGAGATGATGTCCTCTCTGTTCCCTGCAGGTTTGCTAAGCTCCTCCTTCGACTGCCAGCACTGCGATCTATTGGCTTGAAGTGCTTGGAGCATCTTTTCTTCTTCAAGCTGATCGGTGACACACCTATTGACACTTTCCTAATGGAAATGCTTGAAGCTCCCCATCAGTTGTCTTAGATAAGAAGCGTGTACTGTGGTTAGATAGCTGAAGCCTGGGCAGCGGGCGTGGGACTGGAGTGGCACTTTAAGTTCTTTGAAGATTTGTCGATTTGTCTCACTGCTGTCTGCGTTACACTTCTTTTAGTGCGGCACAGATTTGCGCTTTAGACCAAACCCAAGGCTTGGCATGATCTACAAGCTGGTGCTATATGTTTAATTAACTTCATGTGTAACTATGGGTAAACACAAGTATCTTTTGAAAATATAAACATTTACATATTTCCCTCACAGGATAAACTATAATTTGGATATACATTTTTGTATAAACTTTTTAGACACCTCAGATTTTAAGATTGTTGTTTCTCCAAATGATGGGATACATGAGAGGACGGCAACCAGATTCTTTTCTTAACGCGTTAACGACGCACCCTTTTTATAAATTTACACTCAACTCAGATCTAAAAGTGCATTATTGTACCAAACGACAGCTTTGAGTTTACTTGTATCCATTGCACATGATAAAATCCAGCAGTGACCCTGAGACAGAAGACAAGTGAGCAGTTGAAACTGTCAGGCCAGACTCGTACTGCTCATCAGGGTCAGCTTTATGTGTCTCATATACATATATATGCAGAGTATTGTTTACTTTGCCATTTAAAAGAATAATTATGTTGGGGTTAATGATTAGACTTTTCTGCACATTTGCAACGTGCTGTTTCTAAACCATACATTTAACAAATGCCTGACCTCTGAATGGTCAAGTGTTTGTCTTTTGGTGCTATTTCAGAGATGATTATTGGCGCAGATGCACACCAAACCACAAACCTATGAATATATGCAAAGCTAAAAATTCATTTGTCAATCTTTGTTTAAAATGTAGCAATACAAAATGTTAAACTAGGTAAGCCTGTCAGTTTTTCAGGGGTTTTACAAAGAAAATTATGTCCTGTGGAAAGGGAAGACTCCATTTTGTAATTTATCTTCACAAATCTAAGGTACTGTGCAAAAGTAATTGTTCAGGGACAGTGTATATTGATAAATTTGAACTATGATCAGGAAATACAAATTCTATAATTCTTATTTACCCTTTTTTCTGTTTTCAGCTAGTATAAAGCAGAACGTGTCTTGGGTTGCACTGGATTTGCTGAGACAGTTTCGGCTTCTTTTTTTTTCTTCTTCTTTTTTGAATGCTTGTTTTTCCTACCTATCCTCATCATCGTGATGTCTCTGCATTTTATTGCAAGCAAACAATAATCGCATTTAGCTCCATACCACCTGTGAACAGACATGAATTTTAAGTCCAGATGAGTGGGCCGTATGTAAACACCAGCTGTAATGGTAAACGTGTCACTGACATCTGTATGCTCTTGAACATAAAAGTGACTTGAAAAATGGGTTGTGTGGACTAAAAATAAACAGGCTTAAGTTTTTCTTTCACATGCTTTGTCTGGTCTAAACGTGACTTATTTCTGTATTCATAGAAGAAAAGGTGGCAGAAAGAAGTTGATGACAAAAAAAAATTGCATTTTGCCTTTTTATTGTAGTTGTTACATAGTTTTTGCTGTGGGTATAGATGCAATTGAAGCCTTGGTAGTAAAGCACTTTAGTCCAAGTTCCACAGTGATGTTATGGCACAGGCAGCAGTGTGTGATGGGCTAATGATAAAAATATAAGTGCAATTAAATCAAAGGCTTCCATCTGGATTTTACTGGAGTAACTGGTAAAGCCGATCGCTGGGTGTTCATGTTACAGTCTGAAGTGAAAATCCTACAGCTCTTAGAACCAAAGTGAAACCACCTCCTGGATTAAGCAGAAGTGTCACTTTCTTTTAAAACCATGCATGGCTTGGTTTTCTTAAATTATATTTTGAATAACACTGCTTTTAGTCTATAATACACTATTCTACACATGGAGCAAAAAAAAAAAGACAGTTATGACATGTACATCTGTTTACAACATTCCCCTGTATTGCTTCAAACATGTTTTTGCTCTTGAAAAGTCAGTACAACCCGGGAAACGCACTGAGCTCCCAGCTCCTCCTGTAACTGCAGTTTTACTAAGTGGCATGCTACACATCGAGTCTAAGGTGCTGAAAAGGTTCCAGTCAATTCAAAACAAAATAAAAATGGAGTGCTCATTTGATTTCTTTTTTTATGCAGATTTATCACAATGCGCTAAATTATTTTCTCAATGGCTATGTTTCCATCACAGTGAAAATTAAAAGTGAATAGAGATCATTATGAATTCAGTCAAGGCCATTCCAAATTGATTAACAGCACGTGGACCTCTAAAATATTCAGTTCAGTACAGATTTTGATGTTTTAAAAAGTCTATAAATTAAAAAATTTTATGTGCTTCCTAACTAATAATTATAAATGTGCCCCCTGATGGTTTGCATTCATTGAGAATTACTACACTATGAATGGAGTGAACCTAAATGAATCTTACAATAAGGCAACAGGATAACAGCTAATGTGCATAGCCAATCCTTAAGTTGTCATAAATATGTTAAAGCTATCTTCATAAACTACTTGATCCAAGACATAGCATGGAACCAAAAAAGTAATTCTGCCATGACAAGTTTAAAAACACTGGTTAAAAATAAATCACAGCTCAAGAATGATCTACACTGCAATATTAACCTCTGCTCCCTCCCTGCCCCACAGACCGCACATCTGTAGCAACATTTTCGTTATTATATGTCCCTGAAAACATCTTAATAAATAGCTGTCTCTGAAAGGCACTCTGAAATGTGCAGCTCATAGTCTCTACAAAATAAAACGAAATAAACTCTGTGAAGATTGCTCACTTGTACTTCACCTCACTCCAGCTGTTCATCGGTGAGAATAGATCACGACGGTGACGATGCGACTTCAGTTCAAACTATAAATGTTTGCATCGTTAGCATTAGTCTGAAACTAGTGGGATTGCCAGTCAAACCTGTAACGGAGCTGTTGGCAATCGCCTTTCTCTCTTCATATCAACTTTAAAAAATATCTGCGCCGTTTCTCTGATGAATTCCTTCTTATTTAGTAAACTAATGCACGCTTGCCTTGGATATGTTGACTTTGATTAAATATTTAAAAACTGTGCTACTGCTGAATTGCTGGTTAACTGCTGAGTATGTTCTCAGATTCAGATGTCTGAATGGTTAATCAGTGTCAAGGATCTCACTTTCCTTTGAGACCCAACTTTTACATCCAGTGCAATTGTTCCTTATTTGAGCACCTTCTTGAGCAAAACGAAACACAAAACTACCACAGTAGTATATAACAAAATAACCCTCTGCACAAGGCCATCTATTCAATAGATGAAATGTCTTTTTTGTCACGAAAGCTCCTGGGCTGAAACTAAACCCAAACACATTTATTTGAACTGATTTTCTAGCCCTCTCAATTCACTGAAGGCCACGGGGATTAAACTGCCAACTGTTTTGACTCCCTCGGCCTTAAAAAAACCAAACATTTCTGCAGGTGTTTGTATGCAATATCACATTGAAAGCATAACTGTGATGAAGCCTTATGAAAGCAAATCATGTGTAAACTGTGTTTAACCGGCAAGGGCAAAGCTTAGTGGTTTTAATGCAGCACGCCGTTTCTGCTCCCTCTGCCCATCAGTTCAGGAATAAAATCCTGTTCTCCCTTCTCTTTCGTTAGGAAGCACTTGGTCAAGTCCAGACATACAAAGATGAGATCAACTCATCAAAGCTGGGGTTGGGGAGGGGGATTTTAGTGCCAAACCGGAGCAGAGTAGGTTGACGGGTTGGGTCTTTATGTCCTTATGGGGGGTTTGGGGCAGTGAAAGGGCTTCCAGATAGCGTGGTGTCCCATGGGGGTCCAGCTCACACTTGCATCTCCGAACCATTAGACAAGCCAAGAGCGTTTGCCTCCTCTGTTGTCAAACCATTCCTCAGTGTCCTCCTCACTGTGCACACAAGAGGAAAATTCAGAGTGGAAACATAATCGCCTATCATGGAAAAATGTTTTGTTTTTTTGCATTATATGAGTTTACATATGGAGCTGATTGGAGCTTTCTGCTCTGTGTATGATAAGAAATGAGGCAGCTCGCCCAATATTTGACACCACTCACATGATTTTCGATTGGCTCGGGATCGTCTCCTCTCCCGCGGCTGCGTCCGCTGGCTGGGCCCCTGAGTGGCTGACCTGACAATCCTCTCCATGATCTCGTCTGCTGTGTCATCTGTGCAGTTTACTGGGTCGTCGTTGGCAGAGCACCATGGGGCAACACGACCTAAAACAACACAGTTAAAATGGGTAAGCGAAACGTCTGATGGTACCAAGGTAATAGCATCTCATAATATTCTTTAAAGGGCTAAGTCATTTAGTTAAACTACAAGCAGGCTTAACGACAGACTTGATAACCTGTAATTGTAGTTATTTCTGAATTCAATTAACTAAACTTGAGGCATCTGGCTCTGTAAATCTCAGAAATAGCATGTCTGAGCAGATATTTGAACTCAGTAGCATTACCTTGGCCTGTAGTACTAATGCAAATTGTTTTTGATAGTACTTTTAGTTTGCATGCTTACTTTCAGCAAATGTTGCTACAACATTTAGCAACATCTTGTAAACAGGATGTCATAATAGGCCCTTGAAAAGCCTTCAGCTGGCATTTTGGATCAGCTGAAGTAAACGTAAAACAGGAAGATGTTCTGCTCCTCTTTTATGTCACACTCACATTCCTCCCACAACCCTCCCTCAGCCTGGTTTTACCAGTTTATTTGTGTTAAAAAAAAAGTCTTCGTCCTCCATATGCTTTGTCACTGAGGATCACCAAATAATTTTGTATTCCTCTCCTTAATTTTGTAGTCTGTGCCATGTAATATAAAGCCCCTTCACTATTGTGAATTGGTCTTATGTAAATAACATTTATTTGTAAAATCCAAAACTTAACTAAAGATTCATGGATGACCATTCCCTGCTATAATGTCTCCCCCCTATAACTGAATTGCTGCTTACTGCCTTGAAATGACTGATTAAAAATGAACTGAAAAATAATAATAAGCCATCTGCCTTGACTGGTTGGGGTGAGCAGAGGCACCAAAGTGGTGTATAAACATAGAGATTGAAGAGATTTGCTGCTACATTGCTAAATAGTCCTAATTAAACTTAGGTTTTAGGTAGAATTCCTTCAATAAAGATGAAACAACTGTTACTGTGTTTGACTTGAATAATGCAAATCTAGTTTTCTGGATGGCAGTGGTAAAAATAAGGAAATATTTAAAAGTGTAAAAGCACAACACGTAAAGGAGAAGAACCTCTGGTGCTACTGGCTCTGGTGCGTGTTCGAAGGCCCGGCACTGTGGATGATCCACTCTCTCCACTCTGCAGGCTACTTTTTAGGACGGCCTTCATGTTCTCGTGTTCTGCTGCATCTTCGGCACTCTGGACACTCTGAGGCTGACTCTCCGGTTTGTCTGAAGGGGCTCCACCAAATTTACCACTCTACAGCAACAGATGGGCACATGAGATTGTGTTAGCAGTATAATGTGACTCATCTCCACGCTCTGAGACCTTTTACGTATGAAAGTCGTCACACAGGTAAACCTTTACAGGTGACAGTGCTTTCTAACCTAAAACAGGAGCAGTTAGGCATTTCAAACACTCCACCCACAACTCTGAGATACAATCTTTTTTCTCCCTCAAGACTGGTTCTTGAAACAATGCTGACATGCCGGGTTCAAGAATTTCATTATATTTCACCTGAGTATCTGTGAGTTGTTGAAGTTAGATTCAATCAACAGAACATATCATGCAGACACTTCTTTCTGTCCATCGAGTTTCCTCATCCACGCTCGGTCTCTCTTACACACACAGCCTGTCAGTGACACAATCGACTCTGTTTTTCCTGATGTTACAACACTTGGTGTTTTCCAAAGTTACAACAGCGTGTCTAAAAAGACAGGGTTAAATGCAAACACCCATGCACTTGTCTGCAAACACAATTACCTCACTATCATTGTCATCTTCACTCTATGGAAAAAAAATAGTAAAAATTACATTTTTGCAGACTTTAAAATAATAGTATAAGTTTTTATATACGAGTTTTAAGATAAGACAGTGGTGCAGTCTTGTCACCTAATTTTTAGGAAGAAAGCAAATACCAGAAGTCCTTAAATATTTAAACACGTTCTTTTTAATACCTGCATTTTCGTGAGACTTTCATCTCCTAGAACAGGAATGCCAAACTCATTTTACATCTTGGGCCATAATTAAGCCCCCTTTTATCTTAAGTGAGCCAGACTGGTGGAAATACCCTTTCTGTCAGTGTAAAGTAGTTTAACTGTGCATTTAATTGCTGAGATATGTCAATACAAGAAAAAGAAATGCAGTGTTAATATCTCAGTTTTTCAACATGATGAAGAAATGCTGTTGTGGTTATTGAAAGAAATGAGTCAGGATGACTCTTTGGGCTTAAATTGTACAGAATAAATATATAAAATTACAGACAATTCTGGTAGCTCAGTATTAAGTGGAATGATTTGCTAATTCACAGAAAATGCCCTGTTTTACTTATTTATTCTACTGCTGACACATTGTGAAATAAAATAGAAATGTCTATAGTAGATAAAATTACTATAGACTTCCCTGTCATGGTTTCCTGTCAACTTTTTATCAATTACTTTCTTACTGCAGCATGAATGGCTTTGGTCTGAGGTGTTTATCAGTAGGAAAAGCTGTACAAGTCCTAAAAATACAGTTAAAAGTCTAAAAACTTATTCCATCCTTTACATTTGACAAATATGTCCAACGGGTCGGATTGGATTGTCTGCCGGGCTGATTCTGGGCCCCGGGCCTTATGTTTCACACCCCTGTCGTACACCATAAAATCATCACTGCAGATTCAAGCTGTGCAGCCCAGAGGAGCATATTTGACTGAATTTCTTTGTAGGAGTGTGAGCTGAGGAATGGGCCATCCAGAAATCCAGAGTTTGAATTCTCACACAGTGATTGAATTAGGGACCTTTTGAAGAGCGGGTGTTCTTGCCAGAGCCCGCTGTTGAGTCTGCTCTGACAGTCCGGGGGATTTTAATCATGCGGTGAGGTGTTTGCTCTGGCTTTTCTTAGCTGGCTCCAGCTACAGAATAGGATACACTAAAAACAATTCACTGATTGTTGTTACAGAAACCTATACATGTGAATACCAAGGAGCTATCCCGATGTCCTTACAAATGCCGCATTTGGCGCTTTAACCAGATTAAGGATATAAGCAGCGTCTAGGGATGGGCCGTATTGTTTCTCAGAAATCAGAAAGCTCAAACTAAACAAAGACGAGGTTTATGAAATGGAAAAATGTGTGTGTAGGTCGGCTGAAGACGACTTACATCTGTTATCATTTTTCCCCTGGTCTTGTTCCTCTCTCGGTGGTTGGCCCTCTTCTGTTTCTGCTGCAGCACGCGCTCTCTTGTCGTGCGATATTCTAGAGCAAATTCGCTCAGTATCTTGCTAAAGCGGTGTATGCTGACGTCACGTACTGCATACACCGGATGGCCCAAGAACAGCAGGAAAGCATGAAACCTGGAGAAGAGTAGAGCGACAATGCATCATTAAACATGCTTTATCATTAACGAGAATTCAAAATCTGATTACACAGTTATATTTCTAAGATATAAAAATTCTGGAAAATGCGTAAGGAAAGCTTTAATGTGTAAAGGATTATCTACATGTGAATGCACCTGTTGATAATTCTTCGATGTACAATCTTGAGTATGATGATCCTCTCTGCACAGTCTTTGAGGAAGTCTGACATTTTTTGTTTCAACGCTGGTTTCATCTCATGTTTTGCAATGACTTTCAGGTGATCCCATGATGCTTTGCACCTTCTCTCCATCTGGGCCAGATTGTCTTGAAGCTGGTCAAAGTCCACCTAACAACCAAGACAGACTTGAGGTGATGTGGCATTGGCATTTATGTCTACTAACAACAAACTATTTTAGATTAGTTGTTAAAGTGAAATTTTAAACGGAACCTTGGTCAAGCGGGTAACAGCGCCAATCTCAGAGTAGAGATCAGTACTGTCTGGAAACTTCTCAACCACGATGGAGCAGGCGTGGTGCAGCAGAGATTGCTTATGAACTGTATCCTTCACCTCAGGGACCTTCTCCAAATAGTTCAGCTCAAAGCCTTTAGCCTAGAGATATATGCAAACACAGGAGCACTCTCAGAGTGTGGGATGGAAACAATGGTCTAAAATTAAAATCAAATGCTGCTACTCTAGGACCAAAACTGCAGTGAACTTCCTCTTTGGCAGAGTCAGGGAAAAAAAAGGGAGTTGAAAAGAGCTAAGAGTAGATACGTAGATTCATTAGACTGAAACTACACTCTATTTCAGGGCTGACTGATTATTCTGCTCGCCACAGCGAAGCTAAAAAGCCAGAATGAAAGACATAATCCTAATCCTAACGGGATCTCCCCTTGTTCTCCTGCCAGCTTTAAATGGCTTACTGCAAAATATAAACGTGGCCATTATTTACGGTAACTGCCTGTTTTGATGTTGATGACTTATGTTTCCCCTTTGCATGTTTGGCTCGCATATCCCAGAGGTTCATTCATAAATACACTTACTCACAGCTGCATACACACCGAGGCACACGCAAGGGCAAAGAAACACAGATGACAAAGTGAGACAAAAACAAAACAAATGAGGGAAAAAAACAGAGACACATATGCAGGTTCACACATAAACAGGCCAGACAGAAAGAAATTCTCAGAAATCCCAAAACCTTCCCTCCCCTTTTCTCTTTTTGACACACACACACACACACACACACACACACACACACACACAGAGAAAGGACCAGGTTTAGCAGAGGCCTTGACAAGTGTTTTTACTGTAGAAGGACAGTATCTGGTGCAGTCAGGCACGCAGAACTCTTGCCAAATCAATAGGCTGTCAGAGGAGGTGGGGGGTGAGGAGCACTGCAGAAAATGTACAAAGCGAGTAAACGCTACAAACGACTTGGAGGTTTACTTACATTGGAGCCATTGAGAAAGTTGCCAATGGCAAGTAACGTGGTCAAAATGTATCTGAGTGTCTTATTTTTTTCCAGCTGATCCATTCCTTCCTTCAAGTCCTGCAAAGGCTCTGCCACTTCCTAAAAGAGCAGGAAAATACAGTCATGAAGCACATGACACATCCCTGCATGCCTATTTTTTTTCCAGTGAAGTCTGTTCTTCTCTCATCATACAGATGTACCCCATATAGGAAAAACAAATCTTGTTTAAACTATTCACTGTATATAAAAGGCGGATGAAGTTTGTGGACGTCAAAAGTGAAGATAGTTTGAAAGTGCCTCAAACCTGCATTCTTTCTAGTGGCCAGCAGGGGGAGACCACTGGGTGCAAAAGGAAGTACAGTTGTACTGAAGTCTACTGGAAAGCTGTTGCTAAGCCAAGATAATCACCAACTGGCTGTAGCTTCATATTTACAGATTTCGTGCGATAATTGCTCATATTTCACTAACTAATCGCAAGCATATTTCCTAATATATCCTTTTTAATTCACAAAATTAAATTTTATTATAAGAAAATTAGAAGCAAAAATGAGATATAATGCACTTTTGCTACTGCTACAGGCATGATTGATTCTGACCTTCTCAATAATTTCATAGTCCATCTTGAATGCCCACAGCTGCAGGCGAGCAGACAGCTCTGTGATGGAGGAGAGGGTGAGAAGGAACTGTTCAGCGCTGCCCAGGGGGATAGCAGGGTTGACCAGCTGAGCTTCCTGGATCTTTTGCTTCTCCTCCTCTGTGGGGATCATTGTGAGTATTTTCTAGTGGCAGGAAGAGAAAAGTTGGGGAGAAGGTGGGAAAACAGGTGTATAATACCATTTAAACACATTGATTTTTTTGTTTTGTTTTGTTTTTTTTACTGTAAATCAGAGTAAATAAAAGAGAAGATTCAATTCAAAATTGCATGAAAACAACTCGAAATCAAGCTGATGATCACAATATATCTTAGCATCTCTGTATTCTGATAAGCTGGGGAGTTAAGATGAGTGGGAGAGAGAGGAAGAGTCTATAGGTGTGCGTCATAAGGCAGAACCTTATTAAAAAGACTTACCTCGATGCCTTCTTTGTTTAGTGCGTACTCATCAAAGTTGAGAATGGCAGTCTTGATTGTGCGGGGAGGAGGTAAGACAGTCAAACCGATGTTTATAGCATTGCTGCGCTTTGAGTCCAGGACTATGATCTCTTGCCGTTTGCCATCAACAGCTGCTTTCTACAAGATACAGAATATTACCAGTGTGTAAGAAGTTTGCAAAAATGTATCCAACACATCAACCTTGGTAGACAAACCTCAGTTATAATTATTTTTTCTTTTTCCTGATTCCCTGTGTGGTCTGTGCTTAAAAGACTTGGAGGTCTACATGGCAGTGTTTCTTGGTGTTACAGTACATGTTTCTTAAAATGTCACAGCTTTCTGCACTTGAAGGCATTATTTTAGAACATATTTTAGTTTCCGGAGCAGGGTTGGCCCCTGAACCTACAGATTTTTGAATCAGTGGATCCTGTAATAACTCTGAAGATTTAAGAATGTGTTGATGTGCTCTGGTCCCATAGTTTACTTTAACATAGAGGTAGGGGTGACTTTATGTTAAAGTCCATCTTGTACCGTGTGCTTCCTGATTTATATGAGACAACAAGCACAATTAGCACCAAACTAAATCACAAAATGATCCTTTCAAATAACCAGCTAGGGAGGAGAGCTGCTCTAATAGCAGTCTAGACAGCAATTACCTTCGTGACAGAGAGCTCCTTGGATTTGGACTCAAACAGCTGCTCCAACTTGGATGTGTCCAGTGTAACTGGCTCCAGTTTGGACCAGAGAGAATCCTTACAGAATTTATGACTCTTACACTGCCAGTCCACAGGACGAACCTCATTCCAGAAGAGACGGATGGTCTTCTTCTTCTTCTGGAAGAGAGGAATATCCCCTCGGCTCAGCTGAGGGGATGGCGGAGGGATAGGGGCCATAAATGGTGGAGGTGGAGGCATCATTTTGCCAAGGATGGGAGGAGGTGGGGGGCATCCAAACGGTGGTGGTGGTGGTGGCAGGGCGGTATTGCACGGCAGGGGAGGAAGAGGTGGTATTAGGTCACCTGACCCTGTCGTGCTGTCCATATCTAAAATGTCCATGTCATCCTCATCCTTCAGGTCGGTGAAGTCCATATCTTTGATCCGCAGCTCTCTTGGTTTGGCCATCAACTGGTCCCAGATATAGTCCGACTCTTTCTTTGGGGCTAACGTTGACGAGGCAGCGGGCGATGATTTTTCAGCCTGTTGCTGCTCTTTTGACGTCTCTGCTTCAGGTGGAGATGTCAGGCCTTTGACCAAATTTCCAAACTTCCCCGCCACTGCCCGGACGCTGCCCTGATTGTCCAGATTTCCCACCTCCATCTTTTTCACATTTTCTTCTCTGGCCTGTCTGTGAGCCTCCAGTGTGGAGATCCTGCTAGCCAAACTCGCCACAGAGTCATTCACCTCCTCCTTCTCACATTTACACTTCTCCTTTTCAGATTCTCCCACTTTCCCATCATCCTCAGCGGCCGTCTTCTGAGCATAGAGCATGTCCAGCATGAAGCGTTTCCCGTTGAGAATTTTGTTGCAGTGGTCATTCACATCTGCCTCTTTAATGCACTGAGTCCATTGGCCTGAAGGTATAGAAACAATTTCGACCAAATAGAAGGTAATATGAATAGTTGATCATCAAAGTAAGCAAATAAAATCTGCAAAATGTTTTAACTCTACCTGCTTCGATTTCACGGTTGAGTTTCACCTCCCGCTCCTCTCTCTCCAGAGTGCTACTTGTGGAGGAGATGCTGGATGCAGAGCAGTTGTCCTTTTCATTCACCTCTTCATTCTGCCTCTCTTTTTCACTCAACAGCACACTGTCATCTACATCCCTTTCTGTCACCTGCTCCTTCTCAGACTCCTCCTCCAACTCTACTGCTTCTGCTTCTACATCCGGCTCTCCCTCCTTCACCTTATCAGTTACATCTGCTTCTTCTTCTTCTGCCTCATCCATACGCTGTCTCCGCTCCTCAAGCTTCACCTGCTCTCGTGTCTCTTCCTTACTCTTGCCTGACTGTCCAATTGAAGCCACCTCTACCGCTACCTTCTCTTCAGCAACAACATCCTCTGTCTCTGCCTGCGACGCCGCCTCAGTTTGCTGTTTGTCTGGTTCAGGGGGAGGTGCAGGGGAAGGTTCTAATACTGGTAACTCTGGTGCTGCGCTTTTTATTCTGGTCTGTGGTTCAGCATGTGGGATGTGTTCTGTTCCTGGAAGAGAAATTACGGCAATATTAAAGAAAAATGTTACTTTAAATGTTTCTGTACAGAGTTATGTGCCAACGTATAACTCTGATAGTGTTCAAGAACAAAAAAAAAGTTAAAGGAAAATCTAAAAATATATTTAAAATTGCTTCCCGGCATATCATTAAGTGTGCTGATACTGACATTCTCAGACTGAAATACATAAATCAATCACCTAATCCCTTTATACGACTGGCTGAAACACTGCAATGCTTTACAAAAAGTCTGAGAAAAATCCTTCAGCTTCAGCCTTTATCTTCAGTTTAAAGTCACCAAAGAAGCATGCTTTACGAAGATAAACTGAAGAAAAAAAACAAGAAATTTCTGATTACAATCTTACATTGAAGTATCTTGAAATTACTGAGAGTCCATCAGCTGTTAACCTTTGATATCAATCCATAGGAGCTGAAGGCCGAGCGTAAGCACCTCTGCACATCTACATTGCAGTGCAGCTTCAGCCCAGCTTCTCCTTTTGTTGCTTTGTCTGACTTTATCATTTATATAGCGCCAAATCACAACAACACTTGCTTCAAGGTGCTTTATATTGTAACGTAAATATAGATGGTTTCCCTTATTTACTAAGTGGTCACAACAACAGATGAATAAGCACAATTTATTCGGCACAGGTTTTTGGACTGGATGCAACCCTCCCTCTTACACAGGCTTGGAACTGGTACAAGGAGTACACTAGAACCCTATATTATTTGCGTATAAGGCAAATGTGTTAACCACTACACTATGGAGCCATTAAATCACAGCAGATGGAAACAGAATTATTTTTATCAAGTTTTAATGACAGGCCAAGTGAGGGAGACAGGAGCACAAACAGCCAGTATTGTGTCCTTCAGCTGTGTCATCAAGCATTCATTCACTCATTCATGCACATATCTCTCAAGTCCTAATGAAGAATACATGTTTGACAAACAAGGTGTACCCAAACTCTGGTGTGTGATGGTGGAGGTGTCTTCCTGTGAAATCACGGATGAAGGTGTAGCACAGCGGGATGCTGAGCGGCTGGCGGGGTTTGGACTCAAACACAGAGTTATCTCCGTCCGCCCTCTTGTTGGCACTTTGGGGCGCTCCCGCTCAAACTCCTCCGCAGCTACCCGTTCCACAGCCTTGTACCTGCAGTGACAAACAGCTGCTTTTACTTTTATGTGGACACTGCGCTGTAGTTACATGAAAAGCGGTAATGGATAACTAAATAAAATACAAGATGCACAGTAAATTTGTTATGGTGATGAGGATGATGTTTTTTGGGGTAGTGACATCTATGTAAGCATAAATCTCCAGCAACTCTAACTATTGAAATATACATGACAGTTTAGACTTTAGAGGTATGATGACCTCATATAACAATGATCAAAAAGTTATGTCAATGAATAGAAGCCATTTACGTTGTCTCATTCCAGGGTAATTACGGAAAATGGAGCCATAGTCCCATTACTCAATGACTGAAATGATGACAAATCATATCCATGTTGATAAAGTTGCCAAAGTTCTCTATAAGATTTTTGGCACGAGGTAACACTTCACATGTCCCTCAAAATTGTGTAAGTTGCATTTTCAAAAAACATGCATGCCAAAAGACAACTACACACTATTCCTGTTAAACGTTGGAACAGCTTAAGGCTGAGGCAAATTGTACATCTTATATCTGATCAGATATTAAAATGCTTTTTAGTTTTTAACCTAGCTTCACAGCTGCAGCAGTGCATGCATGTGAAACCCTGAAACAAAGTAACCTCACCTTTCTTCTCTGGCTTGTCTTGCTTCTTCCCTCTTTTCAACATAATCTCGACTGAGACAGAAAGACAGAAACGGATCATGGAGAGCAGGGAGAGCATGGGCAAAAGACAGTTTAAACCTGCATTCATACTACATAAGATTTTTATTTACATCTGATATGTACAAAGAGATCGCCGTATGATGCTCCATCTGCCGTTATTCTCTTTACAGTGTACACCACTGTATGGACAAAAGTACTGGGCTGTGTACACATTAAACTTACAGGAGCTGCTGATGTTGATGTCAGAGGAGGAACTGTGCAGTTACTGGATCAGCAGAGCGTTGGACTTACATGGGATCTCTTGCCACCCCCTCTGTTCAATGCTGGATGTTCAGAGTGGACATAGATGGCCTTTTTTTACTCTTGTCAGTTCAAAACGTGAACACTGGCATCCTCGAAAGAGTGGCCTTTATGTTTTAGATGCAGATCCACAGCCAAATTTGTCCTGTTGAGGTGGCTCTTGTATGTTGTGCGATTTATGATGTGGCAGTTTGGTTTCTCCAATGTAGACGTCTGAGCATTGCTCGCCGCACTGCACAGCAATACACTGTGTTGCTTAGTTTTGAACCAGTGTTCATCTGAGGGTGTGGCTGGGTCTTAAGTCCACTGGGATGTCATGCTCAGTGAAAATTCTCCTGAGCTTCTCTGACAAGAATGACCTTTAAAACGACCCATTAATTCACAAATGTTTGCAAAGATAGACTGAATAGTTAGGTGCTTGCTTTTAAACACCAGTGGCAACGGAGTGAAATTAACTGATTTCAAAGTTTAAGAGGTGTGGCCCAATAATTTTGACCATTTAGTTTATCTGGTTATCCTCACCATCACCACGTATCCTCACACTGGAGAGATACGTGGTCATCTTTAGTGAGTGAAGATGGCCTGTTGTTAACCCGTCTTTAATAGGTTCCACTGTACAGAAGCTATACATCATTTTTTTTAATGCTAAGAAGTCACATAAGGGAGGCTAACCTAAAGCGGTTCCTCTCCTCTCTTTCAATCCTCTGCAGTCGCTCCTCTCTTTCCTGGCGTCGCCTCTCTCTCTCTGCAGCCAGAGACTCCTGATGCTGTCTGTATGATAATGTTAGCAGCCCCCCTATAGCAGGTCTGTGAATCAGAGAAAAAGAGCAAATAAGATTAAATTATTGCTAATTAAGTGAATGACATATACTTTGATTTATGCATTTGGAAGTTTCTTCAAAATAAAAGCTTGACAGAGTTATAAATCGTTTGCATTAGCCGTGTTGCTAACCTGTCAGGTTTGGATTCTGGTGTGGAGGTTGCTGAACTATTAAAACGATGGACGGGTGATGTAGGAGTTTGGTTCTGGGATATGGATTTGACGCCAGGATGTGGAGTGCCATTGCCACTGATTCTGTCAAAAGAAAAGGAAAAAATATGTATTGTGCTGAAGACAGACGAAGACACAGAGGTGGATGCACATCATCACCACTAAAACAATTTAAGTAAATAACTTCAATGTGGCCTCTTAATAAAAACAAAAAGATGAAAAAACCTGACAAATGACGTTTTTTCAGATTTTTTTTGTAAAACAATAAATTTGAGATATTATTAAATATATTTTAGCAAGAAAAATATAATATTTATTAAAGAGCTTGCACATACTTGTGGACTAGCCATTACAAGAACATCAATGATTTTGGTAATTACCAGTACTCTTAATTCCGTGCAGCTATAGCTATGTGCTCTTGCACTGGGTGGTGGTGTAATACATTTCTTAAGCACTGTATGACTTATAACTGTATAACTTAAATCCCACTAAGGCAGTTCAGCAGCATCACTGTGAGAAAATCCATCCATCAGTTATTGCTCATCCATGTCTGTGTGTGAAAACAGCTCAGCTGTAATTATTATTATTTTTGACTAACTTGCACAACAGTAAAAATGGTATCATTACATTTTCAGTAACTTAAGCAGACCCAGTCACTGTTGTGCCAAAGGTTTTATACTACTGTTCAACTCTAAAGCTCTTATATATCTTGTTTAACATTGGCCTGTTGACTCCTTGTCTTACCTTTCAGCCCAGCAGGGCTTTCTAGCAGGGCAAGATGAAGGAGATGTATTATCTGTCAGACTGAAGATGTAAGTGAGAGAAAAGTCAAGTCAGATTTGAAAGACTCCAAAGATTAAATATCTAGCTGTTAGTCACATAAAGAAGACAGTTTGAGGAAGGAGGGCTGCAAGACTACAAGACGACAGAGCAGACAGGGACGATACAATATCTCCCTCTGTCTCACTGATTAAGCGTGCAATTTAAAAAGCAAAATCTACCATAATTTAGTGTTCATTTTTTATTGTCCAGTGAACACCATTTGCTACATGCAGAGCAATGTGGTTTCTGTTGCTACAGACCTACAGACTTCAGCTTAAACATGAGCAGAACTACACAGTAACTGTAACCCACAGTAACAATTGAAACTCATTAATGCTCTGACATCATTTATCGCCTTGTCTTGGATTAACTGTGGCACAGAGCCACAATGAAAGACAGATGAGGACTAAATGCAAAATAATGCTTTCCAACATCATGGAAAAGGACAGGGCTTAATAACTTCATCGTGTAGTGCAAGTCTTCAGTGATGGCATTTCATTTTTGTACAATTATTTGTATTTTTATGATTGAAATGCTGGGTAAAGGTATAGTGAGATATACACAGACAACGGTGATGGAGTGGTTCCACATTGAGAGGTGTGCATGTAAAGTAGTGCTTTCTCAACCGCAAACGACACCTGCCTCTGGTTTAAGTCAGGGGACAGAGGGATGGAAAAGGGGTGGAGAGGCTGGGGTGGACTGATACAGAGGGTGTGTTGAGCTTGCCGCTCTATTCAAAGCAAATTGGAAGAAAGAGTCAGGTGGCTGTGAGGAACACACCAAGGACTAAAGGTCCTCTTTTTAGGTGGAACGGACACAGGAGAAGATGCCCTGGTCTTGACGCTGAGATACTCTCTCTGCCCTTCAGGGTCACTGGCTTTAGGGAGGATGTTGGCCATACACTTTATGTTCAAACACATGTTAGGAGTGTCTGCTACATCTGGAACCGCACTAGGATGACAAAATACAAGAGAGTAGGAGTCGAGAGAGAGTGAAAATAATCCAAAATGGAAGAGAAAGTAGGGAGGCACTGTGTGAATAAAAATGGAGAAACTGTATCACGGTAGTTGGCCTAAAATACCTGTGAGTGCCCTGACTAGAGGAATCAGAGACTGGATGACTTTCATCATCTGCCTCATCCTCCTCCTCCTCCTCACCCTCCTCCTTATCAGCCTCATCGTCTTCCTCTTCCTCTTCCCTGTGGTGGGCGAGGAGGGGTTGAGGGTTGAAAGGAGGAACGGGAGGATGCAGGGGAGGCGAGAGAGAAGAGAAATTGGACAAAGACAACGTGAAACCACACAGCAGAAGATGAAAGGGAGAGCACACAGAAATGACGAAAATCTACAGACATGCTTTTTAAGAAAGCATTAAAATTATTAGTGTAGAAGAGAGACATGCCTGAGAAGGTTAGTAGAATTTTAGTAATCCTGGTTTTATGACATGATAAAACAGTTAAAGGACAACTTTAATAATACCACTAATACAAAAGAGAAGAAGAGTATTTGATTTAATAAGGAGTGTTAAGCCTGTAGGATATGTTGTGTGTTTGAGCTGATAGTTTGGGGGTCGCCATACACGAGTCTGGGCCGGTTTGCTGTTTGGATCTCTCTCAGTTGTCTGGATTTCATTAACAATATGGAAAATTGTGATCTTCAAAGGCGGCTTGAATTTCCTGTGGTGGACTGGAAGAAGCTAGCTAGCATGGTATCATATGACCTGCTGGATTGAATTTAAGTTAACCTGAAGATCTGAGTGCTACCAGGGGTAAGGGGTATGCTTCTTGTAAAAAGCTTGTTAATAATGATTGGGGAGAGAAAGACAAAAAAGAAGACTACAAATAATTTCCAGTTTGCCTCCTGGAGCATGATCTAGAATAAAGAGGTTAAAGTAATGTTCATCAAAAGGATCTGTGCTTTTATCGGGTATAATCCCTTTAAGCATTTAAACAAGGCTGCAATTTGCTTCTTGCCGGAGTCACCAGATGCAGTCTGTGCAGTCACCAAGGTCTGTCATATATAAAACATGTGGCATGGTGGAGTTTAAGTTCAGTGCACGCCCGCTGAAGGAAGCCTGACTTCAGAGTGAGAGCAGATAGCTCATATCTCGTGTTTGCAAAGGCTTCCTTTTTCCTCGAGCGGCAGGAGAATGTCTGTGACAGAAAATTAATTTAAATGTCACTTTGCTGCAGCAGTCTTCTCTTTGCCATTCTTTAAATTACTATATAATGAAATTCTTTTCCTCAGCTCTGGACAGGGTAGAGCTCCACAAATGAAATATAATACACACTTGTAGTCGGGCAGCCTTCCTGTAAAATAACTCAATGGGAATCATTTGTGATTCCTTTTTACTTGCAGCTATCTTTCAGGCTTTAGATCACCCAGCTGGATGAAACATTTAATAACGAGGTCATGGTCGACCTGCCTGTGCATGTGCTCTGCTCTAGGTCATTACTTAATAAACGCCAAACTAAATCTTTCTTTTAGTGTCCTAATTCTCTTCCACTTCTCCTCTCCTTTGCTTCTTTTGCAAACTTTACCTTTCACTGATATCTTCATGTTGGCTACCAAAGCGGAGGAAGCCACTTGCACGAGCGTGACTGGTGCTGGGTGATGCTGGGGCAGAAGCATGGCCTCTGCTATTCTGAAGCGAATGTCTCCGGCTGCGTCTTCTCTCCAGGCCTCGCCTCTCATTAGTGCCGCCGACACTGGCCCGCCGGCGGTCCTTTCGCCCACTCGGGGGCAACTGGGTGTCATCGTCACCGTCCTCATGACGGAGAGTCATCTAGGTCAAAGAGACAGCGAGTGAATAAAGTATAACAGGGATCTTTACACAGACGCATTCCCGGCTGCTATTTGACTTATTAGACACACTGAGCTTGTTTGTACAGAGATAAAGGTTTGTACTGAAGGCTTCCTGACCTCATAGATGTTGAACTGTTCCACGAGGTCGAGATCAGTGCCTTTTCTGCTTAGGTGTCTCTGGGCCGTGGCTTCGATGCCTTGCTCCTCCAGACAATCCACCATGTCATAGTAGGAGTCCTGGTCTGGTAGGCCTGCCAACGTCTGAGACACGCACAGAAGCAAACACATGCGATTTTCCATCCATCCATTTTCTTAGCTGCTTATCCAATCATTCAAGCTGTCACAGGGCAACAGGAAGGGTACACCCTTGATACTTGCCAGGGCCAACACATGATAATGAAACAATAACAAAACTAAACTGATAATTCACCTGCAGGACTGAAGCTAATCTGAGTAATAAATAATATATTCAAGTAATATATTTAAAAACGATCTGTAGCCAGGCTGTATACCTAAACACATTAGTAGTATGTAAACACATTTTTCTATATCCACAAGGATAATAAACACTGAACACCAGCAGCCCTGTATCCACACTTAAATCATTTTACACTCCTGCAGTTTATTCTTCATTACCACAGTTACTGCAATTTCATATAAGCAACATTTGCAATCCCACAAACACACAAATACAAATGACCTCTCACCTCAAAAGACTTTCTTTGTTATCTCTACATTATTCAGGTGCTGATAAAACAATCTATATACAATATATAAAGGGGGCTTTAAATGTAGCAGATTGGGAAGGAAAACCACTAGAGACAGGCAGGTAAATGCTATACTCCAAGGTAATGCAGAAATAGTTGGTTAAATAGTATCTAAATAGTATTTACTGACCTTATTGATGAGCGTCATTGCGAACACCAGCAGCTCTGTATCCACTCCATCCTTCTCATCAAGGATCTCCATGACATTTGACCACAGTTTTGTACCTGCATCATGAAAACACATGCAACACAAGTGTGTATAAAAAGAAAAGTTATTTCAAGGTTTACAAAGATGCTGAACAACTACAAAATCTGAAATCATCCATTTGATCATCTCACAGCCGATTTGGCTCTGTCGCTGTGTAGCAATATAAAAAATAAAACCTTTTAAGTCATCTTATTGCGCCAGCAGACTTTGCAGTATGGCTTTCATCTTCCTCTAGAAACACAGCAGTAAAAATGAAAAACAAAAAACGGAGGCGTCTGCATGTGGCAATAAGCAAGGAGCACCGTCTCAGCCATGAAGACCAACTCCTCTCATCGGGAGACAGGGGATCATGTTCAGTCCTCTTACGCAACAGCAGAAGTGACAGAGGGATACCTGAGCCCTGCACACGGATGACCAACCCCCTGCTGTATGCCACAGCACAATGCTGAGCTTTTAGGATGGCAGGTAACTGAACCCCACTGCAGGCAGGAGATAGACTCCTTCTCAATAAGCCTCATTCCATGTGTGGCTGTGGCGCGGCTGAGAACAACTGATCGGACTGCACTTTCTGTGTTTTACTGCTCAGGTTTCACTGAGCAGCCGAGAATTAAAACTTAATGATGATGCTATGTAGCAACAAATCCCACAGAGACTAAATATAAGGTGAACATATTCAATGATTAAATAGTAGCACACACTGTAGTTTTATGGGGAAGTAAGTGGAATTTATGATTGGCTTAAAGACTAGCATATGCAAATAACTCCATTAGCTCCAACATATTACACACTGAATTCACTGACACTCTGGTTAATGCAGCAGGTTTCCGATGTTTTCTCCTTTATTAATATCTATACTATGTGAGTGTGGGAATAGAGAACGAGTCGGTCCCTCCTTTGACAGTAGTGTTGTGCATTTATGTTTGTTTCTCAGTTATGCAAGCATCGTACCCCTTTTGGTATCCACAGCGTTCACAGCCTTTATGAGAAGGGCAGCATTGGACTTGGTGTACTCGACAAACACCAGCAGCAGCTTTAGGGATGTCTTCACCACCAGACGAAACTGTGGAAAGAAAAACAATCTGTTAAAGCAACAAACACAGAGCGCACAAATTCAACTGTGAACTTAATGTTTCTGCAAACAACTATGATGAGCATGTGCAAGCCCTTTAAATTCCAGATGCTTAATGGCATCAAATGGTAAAAGCCCTTTCCTTTAGGGGCAGCCTTGCAAGGTTTTGATAAGAGTGCTGTGTGCCTCTGACAGCTCATGGGAACACACTGTACAGCAGTCAGACGGTATAAAAATGCCATAAAAATCAAAATGCTGAACCACAGATGAGCCTCAAAATAAAGCAAGATATCTAAGGTTTAGTAAATGTTTCCAGTGATTTACACCACTGTAAAATATGGAAAAAGAGATTTAAGAAAAAAAAGTAGGTGAGAAGAGTGTTATGGTTATGATATGCTGCAAAGCTGAGGTTAAAATCAACACAATGGGAGGGGTGGTGCAAAACAAGTTTTCTTTCCTGGCGAGGTGATTACAAAGACAGGGTTCAAATTAAAAGAAAAATAAACCAGACACCAAATAGTTTGTCAGTATTTACACGGAAAGGCAGGAAAGTAATTTGTAAGAACATCAAAACTGTGTGAAAAGAGAGCCAGTGCAGCTCCCTCATCTGCTGCACATTTGCTGCACATACTGCAGTCTGGCCAGTAGAGGGCTGAGGTGACCACACTGACAGCAGGGCAGCAAGTATAGGATTTTATCCTTCTCATCAGTGGCCAGGTGGTGTCGTTGAGTTGATCTTACAGGATATCTACAGTGTGGAGTCATTTTTACATTTTTTATTTTTTTTTTTACCTTGGATCCAACCAGCGTGTAAAGCCACTGGATCGTTTCATTGTGAGATATGAGGCCGTTCATCCCGTCCACGTACAGCATTATTTGACCAAGAGCTGGAGAAAAGGAGAGTGGGAAAGGCAGACAAAAGAAAGACATGGGAGGAAAGAGCACAGGGATGGTCAATCTTATGGTATTACAGTTGATGTTTTCATCGTTTCATAATTGTCCATCAAACCTGTCTTTGCTCTCAGTGGAATCCTGACTATGCAAAGCAGGTGAAACTTAAGTTTCACCAATGATTAAGGGATAACAGACTGTATTCAGTTTACTTTGGTGCTTTTTGAGAGATTTCAGCCCCAATATATGACAGGAGACATGACCTTGTGGTACAATACTGTGCAAAAATCTTTATATTTTGCTAGATAAATGAGGTACAGTGGTTTACTCATACGTGCAAGTATACATGGAAATTTATATGGCGAAACCAGAGTTTGTACAATTGATTTTAATGAGATTGGAAATCAAAATTTGATTTACTTTATCAGAGCCTGAACTCTCTTAGGCAGCTTTCTTGTCATTTCTTTAAGGAGTCTTCAGGAATTGCTCTCCAGGCTTCTTGAAGGACATTCAAAGCTCTTCTTTGGGTTTTGGCTGCTTTTCAGTCTGTTCTCTGTCAAGATGATCCCAGCCTGCTTCGATAACGTGGAGGGGGGGCTGGGGAGGCCAAACCATGACTCTGCTTTTACTGCATTGGCAGTGTGTTTGGGATCATTGTCGCGTCAAGAATGAAGCTTCTGCCAATCAGGATCTTACCAGATGGTATTTCATAGTGGACTAAAATATGATGGCAGTTTTCTGCATTCATAATTCCTCCTCTGTAAATACTGTTGACAATGCATCACTCTATAAGACTTCTGACACTGACCTTCAGTTGAGTTCTTGTGTAATTTGGCATACCTCAGGCTTTTCTACCCGTTTTCCTCCATTAAGAATGACTTCTTGACATCCTTCCATTGAAACCGTTCACTTCTGCTGAAGATACCATTTAAAAATGTCATGCATAGGCAAAACACTGTTTCACCTCTTGAGCTGGTTGCCTTCCTTATGCTTGAATGATTCATATGTTGATATTAAGTGGCTTAACGAACAAAAATCATTGCTCTGGTCGGGTATGAGGACTGGTTTGAAAATGGTTGAAGAAAAGCTTTGAAAACATTCAGAAAACCTGGAAAACTTGTTCAAGATGACAAAAAATATACAAGAAAATCTGCCTCCTTGCAAGCAAGCTATCAAGAAATGAGGAATGGCTCAAGACTTGTGCACAGCACTGTATATAAGACCAAAAATGTACACTATCAGATCATTTCCCCCTGTATTATTCACACATTCTCTAATTCTTTTTTATTTTGGTGAAATAAGACAATGATCTTCCAACACTCTAGTTTTATATATGTAGTAATTGTAGTAAATGTAGTAGTAATTATATATGAACTGTACATGCAAACTGGAGTTGCTGTGAAAATTGAAAATCTCAACAATTAGGTGAAGATCTTAAAAAAAAACATCACTTGTCCACATTCAACTCTCAAGTTAGTGGACACAACTGGGGGCAGTATAACTGAGCAGAGTGCCTCAATGGAAGCTGACATGACTTCTATCTGTAACAGGATACATAAATAAGAACCTAATCAGAGCCAAGGGATCTCAGTGGGGGGCAGTAAAAGTGTAGGGCTTCTGTTGAAGGAGATGGGGGAAGGGAGATAAACATTACAGGACAGGAGTGGAACAGACAAAAGCACCATTTAAAATGTGGTGGGTGTTTTTGTTTTGTTTTTAAAGCAGCATCTCAGAGGAAGTCCACACATGTAGAAGTAATGCTTTCATACAGAAGACCACAACAAGATGAGTTCAGTTTGAACCCACAGAAACTTTACATGATACATTAGCTGACACGGGGGGAAGAGCACGTGACGCATTAAAAGTGGAACATTTTTGGAGAGCCTGTTTGACTGTTTCTTGGCAGAAGTTAGAGTGTTGGGAGGTAATAATACATAGGAGAATATTCTCAATAAGTCAAGCCATTGGTGTTTTTATTCAGAAGGATCATATATATAAAAGTGATCAGATATATTAGCAGCTGTGACAAAAAAGCAGAGAAACAGGTGCTTTGAAACTGTATACATTCACAGATTTTGATCTAATCTCTTCTTTGTATGTTTACATCACTTTCTTATAACATGTTATGATGACAGGCTGCACTTTCTGTTATATACGTATAAATTTCTTCATGCAGTCTTCTAGAGCGGCATTGAAAATCGCGAATATGCAGCTGATAGGCCAAAATTCCCAGGTGCAGCTGCTGTGTGTACATGATGTGTGAGAGCGTGTGGGTGGACAGGCCCTGTGTGTGTCTGTGTGTATGTGCTTGCTGTCGGCGTACTGCAGCGGCAGCAAGCAGCGGTGGCGACAGTGCATCTTTTATAAATTGGGGTTAAGTACTCGCAACATGTCAGAACAGAGAAACGGTCCTTTCCCACTGCGAGCTCTGGGCGTTGTGTCACAGCAGACCACAATAGAATGTGTTTTTGAAAAAGCGATTGACTATCGGTCAGTGCAGGCCAGAGAGAAACCCTCTGTAGCTCTCCCACCAGACAGCTTTAAAGAGATCATTTACAGCACACTGTGAGCACAGTGTACAAAATAATGATGCACAGTCAATTTTTATACAAACACAAAACAGCCTCAACTTTAAAGAGCTGTGTGGCATTAGCAGACCTGCAATATCATCACTGCACACTTATCTCTTGCGTGCACCTGTGTACGGTATCTGCCTTAGTGCAATGTGCTTTTAAGAAATTCCACTGAAAACACGCGTCTTTAATGAGACTTTTAAGTGTCATTACGCAACACGAATGTTCAGTTGCTGACAGATGAGACTTTATCTATCCACCACAAAGCGAGCAGGCTTTTAGATCACGCTGACATGTTATCACAAGGCAACATTTAAAGGTTTTAGCCTATAGAACAGAGGTGCCAAACATAAGGCCAGAATCGGCCCGGCAAAGACTCCAAACCAGCCTCACTGCATGGAAAATGTGAAGGCATATATTTTGCACTGTATTTTGCTACGTTTTACAGCTTTTATGACATTCATTGACGTGATTAAGAGAAAAAAGAAAACAATTGAATGAGAGAAAAGTTACCATTTTTTTCCCCACTATCTACCATAGAAATTTGTGATTGAGTGACTGGTGTGGTTGAAATTACACTTCTTTTTCTTACAGCGGCTTGCAAAAGTATTCGCCCCCTTTGAACTTTTCCACATTTTGTCACATTACAGCCAAACATGAATCCATTTTATTGGAATTCCAGGTGAAAGACCAATACAAAGTGGTGCACACATGAGAAGTGGAACGAAAATCATACATGATTCCAAACATTTTTTACAAATAAATAACTGCAAAGTGGGGTGTGTGTGATTATTCAGCCCCCCGAGTCAGCACTTTGTAGAACCACCTTTTGCTGCAATTACAGCTGCCAGTCTTTTAGGGTTTGTCTCTACCAGCTTTGCACATCTAGAGACTGAAATCTTTGCCCATTTTTCTTTGCAAAACAGCTCCAGCTCAGTCAGATTAGATGGACAGCGTTTGTGAACAGCAGTTTTCAGATCTTGTCACAGATTCTCGATTGGATTTAGATCTGGACTTTGACTGGGCCATTCTAACACATGGATATGTTTTGTTTTAAATCCTTCCATTGTTGCCCTGGCTTTATGTTTAGGGTCATTGTCCTGCTGGAAGGTGAACCTCTGCCCCAGTCTCAAGTCTTTTGCAGACTCCAAGAGGTTTTCTTCCAAGATTGCCCTGTATTTGGCTCCATCCATCTTCCCATCAACTCTGACCAGCTTCCCTGTCCCTGCTGAAGAGAAGCACCCCCAGAGCATGATGCTGCCACCACCATATTTGACAGTGGGGATGATGTGTTCAGAGTGATGTGCAGTGTTAGTTTTCTGCCACACATAGCGTTTTGCATTTTGGCCTCATCTGACCAGAGCACCTTCTTCCACATGTTTGCTGTGTCCTCCACATGGCTTGTGGCAAACTGCAAACGGGACTTCTTATGGTTTCTGTTAACAATGGCTTTCTTCTTGCTACTCTTCCATCAAGGCCAACTTTGTGCAGTGCACGACTAATCGTTGTCCTATGGACAGATTCCCCCACCTGAGCTGTAGATCTCTGCAGCTCGTCCAGAGTCACCATGGGACTCTTGGCTTCATTTCTGATCAGCGCCCTCCTTGTTTGGCCTGTGAGTTTAGGTGGACGGCCTTGTCTTGGTAGGTTTACAGTTGTGCCATACTCCTTCTGTTTCTGAATGATTGCTTGAACAGTGCTCCGTAGGATGTTCAAGGCTTGAGAAATCTTTTTGTTGCCTAAGCCTGCTTTAAATTTGTCAATAACTTTATCCCTGACCTGTCTGGTGTGTTCTTTGGACTTCATGGTGTTGTTGCTCCCAATATTCTCTTAGACAACCTCTGAAGCCGTCACAGAGCAGCTGTATTTGTACTGACATTAGATCACACACAGGTGCACTCTATTTAGTCATTAGCACTCACCAGGCAATGTCTATGTGCAACTGACTGCACTCAGACCAAAGGGGGGCTGAATAATCACACACACCCCACTTTGCAGTTATTTATTTGTAAAAAATGTTTGGAATCATGTATGATTTTCGTTCCACTTCTCACGTGTACACCGCTTTGTGTTGGTCTTTCACGTGGAATTCCAATAAAACTGATTCATGTTTGTGGCTGTAATGTGACAAATGTGGAAAAGTTCAAGGGGGCCGAATACTTTTGCAAGCCGCTGTATGTTACGATATCTCAGGTTTTAAATGTGTAGGTAAAAATCTTTGATTTGATAGATGGAGGCGTTTCATTGGTTACACCTTGAGGTGACAGTTGTTGTGATTTGACGCTATATAAATAAAGTTCAATTTAATTGGTCCGGCCCTCTTAACATCAACGTGGGCTGTATGTGGCCCACCATGCAAAACGAGTCTGACATCTCTGCTACTGAGAGCCAGTCACTCAAGCAGTCAACCGCGCAAAAAACAA